GGGTTAATGGATTAATGTTGGACTTGTGGGCTTGGGCAGCACTGGGGTAGGATGTTTTCTTGATGCACACCTAACCTTTATATAAAACTCTCTCTTACACATAAGTGTCTGTGGATTTGTTTCTCTAAATTACCCAGACTAACACAACATGGAAGAAGCACACCAGCTTGTGTGACCCAAGGACGACAATAACAAAATTCAAAAATATGACAAAGGGAAAAGTATCAGAGCTAAAATGAACACCCAATTGGTAGAGGGCTACGGATGACATGGAAGCCCAAACCTATCTTCAGAGTAACTAGTTAGAAATACTAAGCCGCCGGCAGACTCCCACTAGCCACAGGCAAGGGTCTCGAACAGCCTTACTTTCAGACAGGGATCATTATAACCTTGATTATGCTGGATGGAACTTGATACTTGGTTAGCTGACCTCCCTATGCATCCAAGCTGAATGTGTTCTGGGTGCAAGTATCTCTTGCATGTTCCATGACAAAAACTTCTTCCTTGGCTTTTTAAATATTGAGGGTGGTCTTCTTTTTCTTACTCATTATTTGTATTTTTATCTTTGTCTAATTATTATTTTAGCCTACCACTTCATTTTATTTTGTTTTTTACTGTTTATTGGGTTTCCCAGTTTGGGAAGCACAGAAGGCGTGGATGCATAGAGACCCTAACTGATGCCAAGGTCTACAGGGGATGTGGGGTGAGGGGTGGGAGACAGGGAGGGTGAGGGGACTTCAGCGGGGAGGAGCACTAGAACTAATTGTGATTACACAACTCATTTTAAACGTGATGTGACCATGGGGCGTGGGGATGGAGTCCTAAAATTGATTGTGGTAATGATTGGAATTCTTGATATAATTGAATGATTGAACTCTTGAATTGTATTATATGTGGATTATGTGCCAACAAAAATGTGGGGAAAAAAACAAACAGAACAGGGGCATGCATGGCAGGGGAGGTTGCGGGAAATGGGAAATTAATAACAATGAGCACAAGATTGAAGAAAAGTTTGGGGGGGATAAAGGGGGCTTGATGTCAAGGAGTTCAGGAAGGAAAAGGATGTTTTTAAACTAATTGTGGTAGCAATTGTACAATACTGCTTTATGGGATTTAACTATGGGATGATATCTGTAGTGAACTCCCAATAAAATGGTTTTGATAAAAAGAGAGAATATTTTTACAGAATATAACTTAAATACTATATTGTCTCCTTGAACCCCTGAAGTTTCAATGCTAAAATAATGTAATCCTTCCCAATTTCATTCTAGTCTGGTACAGAAAGTTAATTAAAAATAAAAACTACTAAAAAAATAAAAAATGAAAACGACTTTAAAAGAATCTCCCAACAAATCCAGGATGAATGTCACTGCCCCCGTTACAAGCATTGCTTTCTATCCTCGCAATTGACTACGCAATTCACAAACGTTTTATACTCGTTTCACGGAATCCTCAGACGGGAAATTTCTAACAGAATTTGAACAAATGCATGCAAAAATGAAGCTATTTACAAACAGTTAATACTTTGACAGGAGGCTTGGTGTGACTTCTAAAATAGTACCTGAAATCTCCAAATAATTCTGAAATGAACTTGACGAAGACCGACAAGCAAAGACGCGTTTGCCGGCCACTAACTAACGTCTTTCCCGAAGACGGGAAAGTGTAATCTGAAGAAGGGCCAAAGACGCAGATCCTTACGGAGCAGCAGGGGGATTAGCTCGCCAACCTTCACCTGGCAGAGCCCCCAGGGCCCCCAGGAGCTGATGCCGACTCACAGTGACCCTGAAGGGCAGGGTAGAACTGCCCCTGTGGGTCTCAAGACTGTAACTCTATGGGAATAGACAGTCCCATCTTTGAACTGGCAGATTTGAACTGCAGACCTTGTTGTTAGCAGCCCAATGCATAACCAGACAAACGGTCATGTTATTGCTATTGTCTCTGTAGCCACAGGGCCCAGCATCAGGCCTGGCTTCTGGTGCTGTTCATGGAGGAGGTTCCTGGATGGGCCAGAGGTGACCTAGAGAGGCCCCGTGACCTTGGAGAGGCAGCCCAGGGCCAACCCTTCTCTGTGCAGTGCCTGGAGCCGGTGCCCCAGCCCCACCCCACCCTGGTCTGGCCCCCCTGGTGCTACTCACGGGAAGGTGGATCCAGCAAAGCAGAGAATGGAGACCAAACCCAGGCCCACACTGGCCTCATCCCAGCGGTCCTGGGCACATTCACCAAACACATCCCATATCCACGGGCGGGAGCCATTGGGGCAGTCGGAGAAGTTGCCGGAGCCCAGTTTCTTCCAGGTCATGGCAGTGGAGGGCACTGGGGGAGGAAGAGAGGAGGTCTTCAACCTTGTAAGTCTATTTATGGTCCCCCAACGGAAGCTCCCCCAGCCGTGTCTCCCTGCACAGACGGAGCCCCTGAACCGGAGGAGGCTATCGACTGCCCTCCCCCAGGAAGAGATCAGACAAGCATGCCCACCAACCACACAAGCTGGAGCAGGAGATTGTGGCTCTGCGGCTGTGCAGTCCAGCTCCAGGCAGCCCCTGGGCTCCCGGAGCAGCAGAGCCAGCGCTGACTCCAGGGCAGAGAGAGGAAGAGACGTTAGCAGAGGGGACACCGGCAGGGAGATGGCAGCTGCTCGTGCTCAGAAGCCAGAGGGCTTAGACACTGTGACACCAGGACACACCTCTGGGGGGGGGGGGGTCAGGTGCTTTTCCAGGTACTTTCCTCTATTCAAGTCACAAGAAAATCACACCGTGTAAGTGGCCACTGTGACAATCAGGTAACACAGTGAGTCACATTTAAGATGCACAAGCCATTTCTTAATGCACAAGCAATGTCTTAATGGTCCTTCAGGCAGAGTTGTCCAGATGGCCCTCCTGGCCAAATCACCAAGAAGATGGCATAGCCCCCATCTGTCTTTGGCAGCACCGACAGATAAAACCCCGCAGAGGCTGGGGTGAGGGGCAAGGCAAAAATGCCGTGAGTTCAGCTAACGATACACACAGCGGAAGTCCAGGGTACAGTAAGACTTCAAGGTGTCACCTTGGGGGAGCAGATTACCAGGCCTTTCTTCCACGGCTCTGCAGAGTGGACTTGAACCACCAACCTTTAGGCTAGTAGTTGAGATCAACCACATGGCCCACCCAGAGATGGTGGCTAGGGACAAGAGCGCTCAACTCTGAGCAGGTGACCCAACCTTTCTGTGCCTCGGTCCCTTCCCCTCTACAAGGAGAGTGCCAACAGTGCCAATGCCGCAAGGACTGAGTGAGGTGACCAACAGAGAACACAGAACTGAGCCCTCAACCCACCTGGTATTCGAACGCTTGAACATTTTGGCCGTTTCTCTGAGTGGGTCTGCTGAGGCCAAGCCCATTAAGTCTGTTTACTCCCCTCTCAAAGTAGCGCCAGCCCCACTGGACCAGTTAAGTCCCCAGGCTTGCACAGGTGACCAGATGCCAGCTTGGGAGAGCTGATGCTCAAGCCCCTGCTCTCCACCTGAGCGAGACCCGTGCTGTGTGCAGGGCAGCCACGTGCTGGAGTGCGGAACCACCGACAAGCTGGAATATGGCTGACGGCAGGCACAGCTAGGGAAGTGCCCCCTGGTGCCTGGGGCCTTGGACGGGGACTGCCCATGTGAAGACCCTAGAGAAGAGGGACAAACCGGGGGCAGGCTGAAGTCTTCACTAGCTGATGATAAAAACCACGGGCCCCCCTCTGGGCTAAGTCCGTTGCAAGGATTCAGGCATGGTGTCTGCACATCAGTGCTAAGAAGTACAGCTACCCAAGCCAATCTCCTTGCATGGGCCGCCCAGCCAGGAAGCAGCAAAGCCAGGAGTCAAACCCGGGACCCCATCTCCAGCTCCTGCTCAGAGCCTTCCCCACTAGGCGTGTGAGTGGGCACAGGGGAAACCTCCTGGAGTCAGGCCCACCTGGCCCAGCTTCTCTCAGAAGCAGACTTTCTCCTGGGCTCTGAGTGTCCTCCCTGGGCCAGGCCTCTCCCTTCCCTCCAGTTCTTTCAGCGTCAGCCAGCCTGGGCTGCTGGCGGGAGCTGCAGAACTGCTGAGACTGCTGCAAAGCGGAGCCAGAGGAAGCGAGTCAGCTGCTACTCCTGGGAGCTGGGGACTCGCAGGCCCATGAGACTAGCACCCAGGACACAGAGGCCCTAGAGCAGGGGTCACAAGCACCCAGGCCTGGTCACTATCCGCCTAACTCCCTGAAGTACCTCCAGGCCCAGTCCAGGAGGGCCGAGAGGCACCCACCACAAGGACCATCCATCCGGCTGCGGTGGGGACAGCTCCCCTGAGGCCCCGGCCCCAGTGCCTTCAAGCAATTCCAGTCAGAACAGCACTTACACAGTGAGGAGGCCACTTCAAAAGAAGTCCCTTTGTTCCCTAGCCACACCTCCGCTAAACTAACTCCTGACCTCCTCCGCTCAGGTAGACTGTAGATCCCTGGCAGGCTAGCACCCTCCCCTTTGCCCTGCAAGCTGGGCGATCGTGTCTTCACTGTGCAGACTAGGAGCTGAGGCTCGGAACTGAGGGTAAGTGACTAGGAAGGGGCCGAGGGCCTAACTGTGTGACACCCAGTCTGAAGTCTGTGGTCCAGAGCTTTCTCCTCTCCTTGGCCTATGTGGATGAGCATGGCTGTGCTCTCTAGATCCGATGTTCACTGGCGAGCCCTGGGAGCCCTGCGGAGGAAGTGTTGGACTTCTAACTACCAGGTCAGGGGTTCAAATCCAGCAGCTGCTCCTCAGGAGAAAGAAGAGCCTATCTGCTCCCACAAAGCTTTCGAAAGCCACTGCCATCGAGTCCATGCGGGCTCACAGTGACATCCTGTAGGTTTCCAAGACTGTAACTGTTTATGGGAATAGAAAGCCCAGTCTTTCACTCTCGGACCTGCTGGTGGTTTTGAACTGCCAACCAGGCAGATCGCAGCCCCATGCATAACCACTATACCACCAGGGGTCCTTCCCCATAAAGTTTCACAGCCTTGCAAACCAGTTCATGGTGGTGGTTTTCTGGGTTGGAGCATCCACATCAGTCTGGAGGAAGAATGTCAGGCGTGCGTGTGGACCAGGTTGCCTGAGGCCAGAGCCCAAGGCTGAGTGCCTTTAGGTAAGAAAGCTCACCTGTCGGGGAGACCACACAGTGGGTATAAGGACACTAACTCCTGGGAGCTGCTGAGTGGATTAAAGACACACACAGCTATGAACCTGGAGCTGACACAGACATGGACGTGACTGCTTTCAGGGTGCCGGTCCAGTCTCTCAACCACCCACCCAAGGCCTGCCTTTCCCGTTCTTTGCATCAGGCTACAGAGGCAGTGTAGTGGACACATGCCCAGTTTGAGAGGTTTGGGTCTTGAGAAATGTTCCTTGGCTTACACTCTAGGATTCTGAGTGGGAGGCCCTTGACTTTGGAAAGAACTCTTGAGCCAAGTCTGAGCCTGAATGGAGGGGACTTCCTCTAAGGCAGTGGTTCTCAACCTTACTAATGACGCAAGCAGTTCCTCATGTTGTGGTGATCCCCAAGCATAAAATTATTTTCGTTGCTACTTCATCACATTCATTTTGCTACTGTGAGGAATCGGGTGACCCCTGTAAAAGGGTCGTTTGATCCCCCACAAAGGGGTCGTGACCCACAGGTTGAGAACCACTGCTCTAAGGGCTGTTAAGCTCAGGGGTTCTCCCCTGGAGAGGCTGGCCCAGGTAAGGAGCCTGAGCCTCAGGCCTAGCTGCTGGGAATGGCCCAGCCTCCTCGCCAGACAGCACTGAGTAGCCACATGCCTAACGCTGCAGCAAAGCTTGATTTCATCCTTGGGATCAAAAAGGCCACCTTAGCAGCAAGTGAAAACAAACAAATAAATAAATATGCTACACTTACTGCCATGGAGTCAGTTATTACTCATAGTGACCCTACAGAGCAGAGTAGAACCGACCCTGTGGGTTTCCAAGTCTGTAACTCTTTACAGGAGGAGAAAGCCTCATCATCCGCCTGCTGAGTGAGCGGTTTTGAACTGCTGACCCTGCGGTTAGCAGCCAACACCTGACCCAATATACCATCATGGCTACTCTCATCATGTGAAGGGTGTGTGAAAATCCAGGCTCCTTGGCTCAGGGCTCCAGCTCAGGAGCTGGAATGGAAGCTGCCCCATTAGAGGATTCTGACTTGGGCCATTCCTGGGAGATGCTGGGTTTGAGATGGCATCTCCCTCCTGCCAAACTCTCCTGGCCTTGAAGATCCCAAGCTGACTCAGAGAAACAGCTACCCACTAAAGTCTTCATTCTCAAAGGTCTCTGTCTCTTCTTTACCTACAGGTCCTTCAAGAATTGCCTTCCGCATCTCAACTTCTGCCCTTTGTCCTTGGGTCCTCAGTTAGGCATTCTACGGCCTACAGGGACTTGCTTCTCCTCCACATCCAGCGTCCTGAAGGGCCTGATAACAGCACACTTTGAAGGAGCCTTCTAAGGACTGGTGGGACAAGACCTGCCACCTCTGCCCACCCCCACCCCACCTTCATCCACACACCTCAGGAATGCTTATCAGTCTCAGCAACCATGACTTGTCTCCCTTTACTCTGGCTGAAAATGTGTTCTTCTCAAGGCCTAAACACACCCTGCCAGCATCAGGAGCTCTGGTGGCATAACGGGAAACAAACTGGGCTGCTAGTCACAAAGTCAGCAGTTCAAAACCACCCGAGAGAGGCAGGTGAGGCTTTCTACTCCCATCAAGAATTGCCATCTCTAAAAGCAGATGTTTTGAGAATGATGAGGGCAGCAAATGTACAAATGTGCTTTACACTATTGATGTATGTATGGATTGCGATAAGAGATGTATGAGAGCCCCTAATAAAATGATTTTTTTAATTAATTGATTAATTAAAATAAGAAAGAATTACCCTCTCTGAACCTCAGAGGAGGTTCTACCTTCCCTATAGGGTCACTAAGAGTCAGAATCTACTTGATGGCAGTGGGCTTGGGTTTTTTGAAACATACCAGCTGCCCAGTAAAAGAAGTATCCCAGAAAGCAAGAAAAAGAGAAGGGCTCCATTGGCCCGGGGTTAAAGAGAAAGCACCCTGGGCGCACCAGCCCAGTGGCTGCAATGCTCCTGGGCATGCTCTAATCTAGAAAACGGGGATGCTACAAAGGCAGTGCTCACCCGGGCTGATCCCCAGTTACATGAGATAACCCTGGCCACGTGTGCAGAATGAGATCTAGCATAAAGCGCACGCTCAGTAGCAATAGCCACCCGGGGTCCACTGCACACAGCCCCCAAACCCCTCCAAACGCACTACCACTGAGTAGATTCCCACGAATAGTGAACCCATGAGTACAAAGCAGAACTGCCCCTGTGGGTTTCTATTAATTATAGGAGTTGAAAGCAGTCATCATGCACCCTGGTTTCCAACTGAGAACCTTGTGGTTAGCAACCCAACACACTGTGCCACCGGGGCCCCTTCGGGACGAAGAACCCTGCTGACAACTCCGGTCCTCACACTTCCAAACCCAGGTGGTCCCTAGACCCACTGCGTTTGGAAACTGCCCTAGATAACCGAGGGGTGAGGAGGGGACAAGCGGGCCCTACTCCCTACAGACTAGTACCTGGAGGGGAGGAGCAACCTACACCAGGCCTCAAGAACAGCCTCCTTCTATGACTCAGCCCAAAGCAGGTCGCCTATTTGGCGGGATAATAATAGGGCAGTCGCTTGGGCCAGCGACTCAACCCCCGCGGGATCGCCCCGAAGAAAACAAAGCCTTCAAAAGGGAAGGGGCTCCACGGTTCCCACCAGGAAGGGTAAAGGGGGCCCAAGCCCCAGTCCCAGGCCAGGACTTACCGAGGACCCGCTGGCTGCTGCAAGGGACGTCAGGGTCAGGAGCCCTGGAGGACAGCCCCCCACCCCACCCCACCCCACCCCCGATCCCAAGGCGCGCTCCTGGATCTCGCGCCCGGAGAGTCCCAGCGCCGCGGGGACTCTGGCGGGGAAGGAACGATGTGCCAGGAAGGCCCCAGCAGGGGTGGCCCCGTCCTTCAGGTTCGCCCCCAGCCCCCGGCGCAGCTCACCACGTCGAGATCGGCCGCCAGGACCCGGCTTCGGGGTTCAGTCTTCACTCCCCTGGTCAGCTGACCCGAGCTGTCGCCGCCGTCCCGCCCCAGGACCCGCCTCCCGCGGCTCCGCCTCTGACGCCGCGCAATTGTCAGATGGCCCCTGGAGGCGTGGCGCGCGCGCAGGTTGCGTGTGCGTGGAGGTGCGTCGCCGTCCCTGCCCCCGTTCCCTGGCC